CACTGCATTATGTATCTTTTACCCTTGATTTTGGGCAAATGGAGCTGGACTCTCGATGGAAATATAAAATGCAACTCCTTCTCTGATGGGGACGATTCTCAATATAAAAAGAATTCCAATATGAGTAAGATTAAGCAAGATTTATTAATTATTAAGTAGCACATAAATTACAAGTTCTATGGCAGGACTAAAAGTTGGACAAAACCGAAAGTTCACACGTAATAAGTGACACATAAGCCTGTAAGCGTTTCACCGGTAATACATGGATTTTCCAGAATTGCAACAAAATAGCACAGTTAAAACGAAGACACATACAGAAAGCATAAAATATGAGGAATGAATAACATATTTCTAGCGGAACATTTATATCTTCCTCTACTTGCAGAGATTCTCAAATGAGTTCTTCTTCTCGAGAAGGGTTGCGTTATCCCAGATCACTTTACCTTTTAGTTCGTTTGAGCAAGCGCCCACAACCATGGCCTACAAAAACGACAGTCAATTTAGAGAACTTTGAATGAGCATACATATATGAAGAAGACGTTCGCTCAGGAGTAGTTGCTAATGCCCTAGAGAATCTTCTCCCATTTCATTCCACCGAGAAACCATAAATCACTGTTTAAAACCATAGTTCTCACCTTTGCAACATCGGCGGTAGAGATGGCAATGGAGTTGCTGACCAATTTCAAAGGCTTAATGAAGATTTTTCCCAATGTTTCTAATAGGCGATGCTCTGTAACGACATTTTATAGCGTCTCAATAAAAAAAGCTGGGCAAACAATGAAGATTAATGGATAGAAACTGAATTCTCCATCTATCATGTGTCCTATGGAGTATAACTTCTACACATGAAAAGTAAAAAATACATAAAATAAGCGCTCAAAATAGCCCATAGACTCCACTATTTTTGGGAGATCACTTCAGTGCTCTGGATCTCATACTTTTTCAAGTGATGTTGTAAAATTCCACTTGAACGCAGAAAAGGAAAGCAGTGGTGTGACGCAAAGGTCGCGCTCACTCTTTTCCATGGCATTCTGAGCGAGGTAAGGAGCCTATAGGTGACGATGTAGCACTTTGAGAGAAAAGCCAGCATTTTGAGAGTTTCGAGCTTTTCCGGCGAGAAGGATTGTATAGGTATCAATTGGCGCTGAAAGACTGATTAGCTCAAAATACGGAAAGCTCTAGAGCGATTAATATAAGTTCTCTTTGTTTAAGGTCGAAACGCTCGAAACGCCGCCGGTAAGTATGAACGCAGTTTGACCTATTTCTATGCCGCACCTAGCATTCTGAAAAGGGCGAATAATTGAATAGAAATTCTCTGAATCTCCTACCTTATTACGTTAATTTAGCGTTGGTGGGCGAAAGGTTTGACCCAGGTAGGCTCAACATGCACCGCTTACCGGACTATTACCACTACTCACCTAATTAGCGGGCCTTTCATGGCATTTCTGGGAAAAGAGAAAATGTTCTACAGAATTTATTTGACCGCTGATGTTTTTAGACTTGGAAAACTGACGTAGTCAATGATTGGAAAACTGACGTAGTCAATGATACGTAATGACCACTTATTCCATTTTGTTTTACTAATCTTTGATCGATAGAGTGATCTACATAGTAAAAACTTTAGAAGCTACTAAAAGTAAGCAGTAAAGGAATGCCACAACAAAAAATGTCCACAAACCTTCCCTCGGTCCTTCGAGCATTCCAGGTCGTACAATGAGAAATTTCTCAAATTCAAGTGCTGCAACGTCTCGT